AGGCCCCGTAATCTTGCATGGGCCCCTGTACCGCCTCCTCATGCTGCTGCCAGGTTTCCCCAGAGTGTGTCATGGGTCCCCCCCCCCCCCCTGTACGGCCCCTCCCATTGCTGCTGTCTCCATCGCCACACACTCTGCCATGTGCCACTTTCAGGTCCCTCCTCACACTGCTGGTGGGTTTCCATTTTGTCATAGGGTGCTGGCAGATTACGGGCCTCCCATTGCTGCTGCCAGGCCCGTAATCTGCCATGGGTCCCCCCCCCGTACCGACTCCTCATGCTGCTGCCAGGCCCGTACCTCTGTCATGGGGCCCCTGTACCCTCCTCATGCTGCTGCCAGGTCCAGAGTGTGTCTGGGGGGGGGGGTCCCCCTGTATGGCCTCCATTTGCTGTGCCAGGCCCGTAATCTGCCATGGGCCCCCGTACGACTCCTCATGCTGCTGCCAGGACCTCAACAATCTGTCATGGGCCCCTGTACCGCCTCCTTTGTGCTGCCAGGTCCCAGAGTGTGTCATGGGTCCCTGTACGGGCCCCTCCCATTGCTGCTGCCAGGCCCGTAATCTGCCATGGGCCCCCGTACCGATCTCCTCATGCTGCTGCCAGGCCCGTAATCTGTCATGGGCCCCCCTGACAACCGCCTCCTCATGCTGCCTGCGCCAGGTCCAGAGTGTGTCATGGGACCCCCTGTACGGCCTTCCATTGCTGCTGTCTCCATCGCACACACTCTCCCATGTGCCACTTTCAGGTCTCCCTCCCTCACACTGCTGGGTGGGTTCCAGTTTTTTTTTGTCATAGGGTGCTGGCAGATTACACCCTCCCATTGCTGCTGCCAGGCCGTCTAATCTGCCATGGCCCCCGTACCGACTCCTCATGCTGTGACGTTGCAACCAGGGTGGAATTCAATGGGGGTCCCCTACATATGTTAGCCGCCTTTACGAACTTCGAAAGGCCATCACCGATTTCCTGATGTTACAAGCGAGAAAAAGGTACTCCCCTGTGTAAACTTAGATGTCAGCCATTGGCTTGGTCATGCGTGACACCTGCCGCTTGCATTAAAGGCCCTTTGAGGAGGCCACCTATTCGTGAGTCGGCAGGACTATGGGATGAACGACGTCATTCCTTGTTGCACGTCCTGGAACAAATGCTGTTACCAATGGCTGGTCAGGGTGCGGTAGACGTGGCCAAGATTCAACGCACATGATCCCTTTGGGGGCAGGGACAGGAAGAAGAGGAGGAGGTAGAGGAGGACATTGGTGCTCAGGAATTATTGATGAAATGGGGTGGTTTTTCCACTCTGCTGGACAGGGTGGAGGAGCAGGAGCATCTGGTATGAGGAGGAGGAGGAGACAGGGACCCAGACGCACCGTGGCAGTATGCTGTGGAGATGGAGGCAGGGGTCCCTCGCATTCCTTGGCACAAATGGCCCATTGCATGCTCGGTTGCTTTCGTAGCGACAGCCGATAATAACCATCAGACTGAGGGATGACTTTTGGCTGTCCACCTTGTTGGACCCTCGCTACCGTTCAAAAATGGTGGCCTTTTTCACACCTGCTGAGAGGGAGGCCAATAAGTACTATAAAAACCACCTATGTAGTCCAGTTGGTCTCTGCCTTTCTGCGCCAACGTCCATCCTCAGGCCATGTGGGCCCCCCTGTGCGCCTCCGCGGTTCCGCTGCCATGGCAGCAGGGAGGGGTGGGGTGGTAGGGAGCAGTGGCAGCTCCACCAGCAGTTGCGGCTGCCTCAGTCTGCAGTCGATGATGAGTAGCTTTCTTCACCAGCGCAGTGAGGAAACTACTAACAGTTCCGCCGCAGCAGCAGCAGCATCAGGTGGACCTGGAGCAGGATCCTCAAACAACAGGCTTGGGCTACTTGGCAGCACCCTGCCAACCGAGGTAGACAATCTCCCTTGACTACTGGGCAACGAAACTTGACCTTTGGCCCCAACTAGCTGAATTTGCCAGGTTGAAGTTGGTGTCATGCCCGGCCAGTAGCGTGGCATCGGGGGCGCGTGTTTAGTGCGGCAGGAGGTATTGTAACTCCGCGGAGGACCACGACTGTCCACCCAAAGTGTGGAGAGACTCACGTTTGTGGAAAATGAATCAGGCGTGGATTAGTCTGGATTTCAAACCACCAGTTCCTGACATCAAACTGATCTAAATCCGCCATGAATCATGCCCCAAACATGTTGTCCATATTTTTAACCATAGGCCTCTGTATGGCCTTCAATTTAAGCTGCTTACCTTCGCCCACTCTGCCATGGGCCCCTGTACCGCCTCCTCTTGCTGCTGCCAGGTCCAGAGTGTCTCATGGGTCCCCCCTGTACGGCCTCCCATTGCTGCTGTCTCCATCGCCCACACTCTGCCATGTGCCACTTTCAGGTCTCCTCACACTGCTGGTGGGTTCCATTTTGTCATAGGGTGCTGGCAGATTACGGGCCTCCCATTGCTGCTGCCAGGCCCGTAATCTGCCATGGGCCCCCGTACCGACTCCTCATGCTGCTGCCAGGCCCGTAATCTGTCATGGGCCCCTGTACCGCCTCCTCATGCTGCTGCCAGGTCCAGAGTGTGTCAGGGTCCCTGTACGGCCCTCCCATTGCTGCTGTCCTCCCATCGCCACACTCTGCCATGTGCCACTTTCAGGTCTCCTCACACTGCTGGTGGGTTCCATTTTGTCATAGGGTGCTGTATGGGGCCTCCCATTGCTGCTGCCAGGCCCAAAATCTGCCATGGGCCCCCGTACCGACTCCTCATGCTGCTGCCAGGCCCGTAATCTGTCATGGGCCCCTGTACCGCCTCCTCATGCTGGCTGCCAGGTCCAGAGTGTGTCATGGGTTCCCTGTACGGCCTCCCATTGCTGCTGTCTCCATCGCCACACTCTGCCATGTGCCACTTTCAGGTCTCCTCACACTGCTGGGTGGGGTTCCATTTTTTCATAGGGTGCTGTATGGCCTCCCATTGCTGCTGCCGCCACCACCGCCACACTGTGGCTCCACACTCTGGTTTGTTGGCCCCGTGACTGCCCAAATGAGAGAAGTGTGCGGTGATTCTAAGATCGACGGCACTCATCTGCATGTCATACTGACTGACAGTATTATTTCTCTTCCCCAGCAGACTCCAAGGGCATTTAAATTAAAGGTACAGTGTTCTGCACTAATATAAAGCTCTCTGAAGCCTAGAAACACCCTTTTTATAAGTTAAATTCACAGCGAATATATTCGACTCGAATCAAATTTATTCCGCGAATTCGCCGAATCAGCGAATCGAATTTTTGAATAATTCGCTCATCTCTAGCAACCATGCTTCACTGTCTTCACAGTGTACTGTGGCTTGAATTCAGTGTTTGGGGGTCGTCTGACAAACTGTCTCCGGCTACTAGACCCAAAAAGAACAATCTTACTTTCATCAGTCCACAAAAAATTTTGCGCCATTTCTCTTTAGGACAGTCAATGTGCTCTTTGGCAAATTGTAACGTCTTCAGCACGTCTTTTTTTTTCAACAGTGGGGCTTTGCGGGGGCTTCTTGCAGATAGCTTGGCTTACCATAGGCGTCTTCTAATTGTAACAGTACTCACAGGTAACTTTAGACCTTCTTTGATCTTCCTGGAGCTGATTGTTGGCTGAGTCCTTGCCATTTTGGCTATTCTTCTATCCATTCGAATGGTAGTTCTTCGCTTTCTTCGCTTTCTTAGAACGTCTTTCAGGTTTTGTAGCCATTTTAAAGCATTTGCGATCATTTTAGCTGAGCAGCCTATCATTTTCTGCACTTCTTTATATGTTTTCCCCTCTCCAATCAACTTTTTAATCAAGTACGCTGTTCTTCTGAACAATGTCTGGAACAACCCATTTTCCTCAGAATTTCAGAGAGAAATGCACTGTAACCAGCATGTACAACATTTGCTGCCTTCCTTCCTTAAATAAGGGCAATAATTGCCACCTGTTTTTCAAAGAATGAATGACCTCACTAATAGAACTCCACACTGCTATTATTTTGAACATGCCCATTCAATTGGTGATTCAATTACACAGAATCAGCAGCATGCATGTCATGACTGTTGGGTCTATTGGATTTCTATTACTCTACTACACCTGCTAGTAAATTATTTGCCATGTAGAAATATAATTTCTACCAAAAAACAGTGATTGATCAGGTTAGTGATGTCTGACTGCTATTATTTTGAACACAAACTGTATATATATATATGTATATATACATATAGTACAGACACACATAGGACCCGTAATTTATTCTAGGTCATAAACCAGGACATATAGAGAAATATTATGTAATTAGTGCCTATTACTTGAAACTTTCGTGTTCAGGAAAAATATACAGTGGAAACGGTGTACAACAATCTGAGAAAATGCAGTGTACCACTGGTTAATTTGTCCCAGTTTTTTATTGATGTCCATGTACTTACTGGGAAGATTTCCCTTGTTTCCTGTTCTGAAGGCGAAGTTGTCACCAGGATAGGAAATACAGGCAAACCTTTCCAGTACAACAGCAATAAAACATGTATAGTTAAAATATGAGAAAGCTTGGAATCTCCATTTGCTTTTTATTCAGCTTCTGACATCATTTTCCCTGGGACAGGAAGTGAGGGGAAATCACCTAGTGCGGCCACAGACCGCAATAAAACCCTAACAGCAGATCTAACTCTTCCTTATTCCCTCCAAAATGTAAAAAATAACTTGGAGCCTAGAGCTATACTTTAATCTTGTAGTAATTTTCAAATTGCCATCACTATGTGGATGCTGCATTGTCTCTGTTTTTTATGATCAGTCTTGAAAAATGAAATATAATCCTCTACATACAAAAATAAAAAGGCTTCCAATGTTAGGCCACACTTGTGCATTGTTTAACCTAGTACGTTTTAAACTGTATTATGTATTTATTACAATACAAAATGAAATATTACTTAAAATATTGTTTATTTGAAGATCAGTGACCTAGCTCTAAAAATGCTAAAATGTATTCATTTTTCATCTCTTGATTCCTTTTAAGGCTGTGTTTTCCTCAGTATTCTATTTCGCATCTGTTCCTTTGTACCAGGGATTCCTAATGGTAGGGTAAGTAAAAACTAGTATTTAGTTGGTGACAACGTAGTAAACAAAACTATTTTTGTTTGATTACATCAGGGCCAAGATCAGTTGGTTGCCTTTTAATTATGTCTAAAGGAAAATGTTATAATTAGTTTTTCCCATATTATTCATGCACTAATAGTTAACATGGCGAGGGAGCAAAAAAAAATGTCCTTTAAAAAAACAACAGATATTTTCAGGCAAATGAAAGTAATTGACACTGCAGGGGCTGACTGGCTGCTATTCAGCTGTGTATCTACACCAGGTACATGGTGGTTTTCTCATTGACAGTAATGATGAAGCAGCGAAGTAACAGGCATGTGAAGTACTGATGGAAGAGCCATGAAATAATCATTTGCCATACATGTTTGTGCAGTAATTGTATCTCATCAAGAATGTTGGAGAAATGCGGTAATTCATAAATTGCAACCTACCCCTTGTGGTTCTCCTTTGCTGCCTCCACAGCAGGGCTCCGCTTTCATACAAGTTGCACTGTGACATTTGTAGTGTTTTCAAAGCTCACTACAGTAATCTGTACCAAGATCTTTATAGGGTTAACCTAAGTAATCCATGGTATGGTATTGTCACCACAATGAGCTTGCCAGATAAAGTACATCAATTTTGCTGGAAGACTGATAACTTATTTTTTCAACTAAGGACACTGTTAAAAGAAATTATGTTAATACAGGAAGTCCCTTACTTGTGAACGGGTTCAGTTTCGGGAACTTGTTTGTAAGTCCAACTTGTTCTTAACTCCCACAAAGATCAGCACTTGCAGACAATGGCTGTGAAAGCTGATCAGTGTGTTCTGGCGGGGGTAATCTCCCTGTCAGAACACAAAGGCACAGTGGGGTAGATTGCCACACCAACATTGCTTGTGTTGGTACGGCGATCTGTTGAACGAAAAAAAAAATTGCTGGGTTGAACGAAAAAAAAACTGTGTGATATGTGAACACATCTTTGAAAATTTGCAAGTTGATCATTCGTATGTAGGGGACTAACTGTAGATACAAGTATTTTGATATAATTTAATTTTTTTCCCAAGATATGCAACAATCTACACAATGTTTCCTGTGTTTTCCTTGGTGCTGGATCAAGACGTGAAACCAGAAACTGCCCTTCTCTACCCAGAGCTATATAAAGACCTCACAAAGGTAACCCACAAGGTCCATAAAACATACAAGGGAAATGCCATAGTAAAGAAATAGTTTACTTTAGGTTTTTTTCCACAAGGTTATGCAGGCACAGGACAGGCTTTTTGAAAACATAATGCTACATACTATTTTATTATTGCATATAATTTTGTTTTGAGACCATCCTATCAATGTGGAATGTGAGCAGATTAAATGGGCCTGTTGTGATTTTTATTTGGTTGTATCAAAACAGGAAGATAAGTACAGTAGAACAGTAAGTACATTATGCTTAGCCACCTCTAACTTTAGAACACTTTTTCATGGCTGATTGGTCAGTTTTATGGATGAAGGTATGCTGAACATAATAAGTGGATGGGAACTTTGTATTGTGAGATTAAATTGTGGCATGTGCTTGTTAAGTTATTGCATGCCATTTAAACTCATTCGTACAGGTATATTTTTAAAAAACAAAATCCTTTTTACAGACTTCCCATCATAGTTTTCTCATTTGTTAAAAACAAAGACTAGCGCATTTTTTTCTATTGCTTTGGGACAAGCCCTGGCCGCTAACACCTATATGTGATAATCCCACCTTTGGCCCTGAGGTAAAATCCCATACAGTGGGAGGCATCTCCAGAAGTGACTAGCCCCAAATACTTCACTTCAGGCTTATGGCCCCTCACTTGCTCATTTGCTACCCACTGATGATCCCATTACATTTGTAGTGTTTTCACAGCTCACTACAATAATCTGTACCGAGATCTTTATAGGGTTAACATAAGTAATCCATGGTATGGTATTGTCACCACAGCAAGCTTGCCAGATATAGTACATCAATCTTGCTGGAAGACTGATAACTTATATTTCATCTAAGGATACTGTTAAAAGAAATTATGTTAATACAGGAAGTCCCTTGTGAACGTGTTCCATTTCGGGACCTTGTCCTTAACTCCCACAAAGATCAGCATTTGCAGACAATGGCTGTGAGAGCTGATCACTTTTTCATAGCTGATTGGTCAGTTTTATGAAAGGTACAGTGAACACTTGCTCATTTGCTACTCACTTTATGCTTCCCTTACTGGCTCACATTTAATTCACATTACATTTTTTTTACAACAGAATAAAAATGTACTTTCAATACTTCCCCAAATAGTACAGTTTCATACAGTTTCTCAATTATACTGCGTGTTAAGAGGCAGAACTTCCAGGGACGGGTCCTTATATGTTTTGAGATGGGAACAATACCAGAATAAATTGTTTTCTGCTAATAATTGAAAAAAAGTTTTATCTTTCACACAAGTGTCATTGTCTTCCTATTTTATAGGAAAAAAAACCTAGAAGATCATCTCCCTGTGGTACAGGACCCCTGTAGAACTTAATCGTATCTATCCTTCCATAATATATTAACCACATACAACAAAATGTCTATTATCAATATCGCGGGCCTGCCCGAAAGTAACTTCTCTTTCAATGTTCCCAGGCCCCATTTCTAAGATTGCCTCATGGTGCCACGGGTAGCTAGCTCTCACTACTGGAAATTCATTACCCTACCACAAATTTTTTAATGGGCCCAAGTTCTAAATAATATTGTGACAATGGAAACCCTGAAAAACCTACACTATGTGAACATGTTGGCAGTCTCACCAAGACTCTGAAAGCACCTGTGAGCTAATACCTTACTTCACATAGGAAGACCCACATGACCAGATTGTTCCATATGTGGTGGAGTCATTTATCTGTCTCTGTGAATGTTTTCTGAACTTTGGTAACTTAAACTGGCTTGGGTACTCATTTTTTCTTTGGAAAGTATCAACACCGAGTTCTCTATCCATAAGTTTCTCTTCTCTTTCTGGGTCATTCGAATTGGAATTTGATTAGAATATAGAATAAGATGTTAGTTGACTATACTGATGACTTTCTCTTATTTTTTCTGCTTGTTTGATCTTTATATTCTGAAAAACATGAATAAAGAGATATTTGAACTAAAAAACAAAGATGCTATATTTAGATGCATTCAGCATATGAATGTGTCATATTTACTATTCTTAGCCAGCTGTTCTAGGTGTCTTTTTATGTGTGCTTTGCAGCATTTTGTTTCCAGACCTCTTTAGAAAACCTAAAAAGCCTTGCAATACCAATGCCGTGGGTGCAGCCTGTATTCGGAGTTCATATGAAAACGTGGAGTTTATTAAAAAAAAATAAAGAATGTATAAAGCATACGCTTAAAACACTTGTAACCTAAAATGAAAAAAAATTGACCTAAACTATTTTAATGTTTTTGTAGGTTATCTGAAAGATCAAACAGTATTAATTTTTCTTGGTTTTATGCATTTATTTACAATTATGGCATGAGAAGAAATGGAAACTGTGTGTGTACTTTGATCATGGTTGTTCATTACTATTTTCACAATCCTGTTTCTTTAACATTCCTTTTCTTTCTTCACAGGGAAGATCCTTGTCTTTTAAAACCTTCCTCATCTGGGTTTTAATCAGCATTATACCAAGGTAAGAGAGACTCATTTAGGCAGACGAAAGGATTTTTGTCTGCCATTATTGTTTTCCTTCCAGGTTTGCTTCCGCCAGCTTAAACTTTTATCAACAGTCATATATTGCTTTCTTTTTATCAGGTAAATCGATAGTCCAGCAACTCACCCTGCCAATGTGCAGTGCATGATGGTCGATTGGTATTTGTATTGATGCACATTGTTTAAAATCAGTGCTGTTTTTAATTAAAGTTTAATCCTGTAAAAATATTAACTTTTTCTTCTCATATTGCACATTGTTAAGTTTGTGCTGAAAATAGGGCTGGGTTTGTAAAGTATATTTTCATTACTTCGCAAAATGTCTTTTTGTGCTGCATAGACCAGTTTGCGTATTTAGAGTGGCAGAAATTACTGCACAGTTATTATGGTTTAAAATAGACCTCCAAGGAATTATAAAATCAGGAATAGCCTGGTTATATAGTCATTGAAATTAATTAACTGTACATATACAAATATATCATTATATGATTATTTTTCCCAAAATCCTTTGCATGACTAAAATCAGTCAAAATATGTCAAGGCAGTGTGTTTTCAACTACTAGAAGTTGAAGGGAAAAAAAGTTTAGGTAGCTATAAAAGGGGAAATCTCATTATTTCGTATCCCTTAGTATTTCAAATCAGCAGGTTGGAGGGCAATATTTAAAACAGAAGGGTGCAGTAGAAAATAGGGGTGTTACTGCTGCTAGAGTTTAAAGAAATTGCAAAAGTGCCTGAACACAATTTTGGCAGGTAAAACAATGTACATATACTTATTTCAACTCTGTGTAGCTGTTTGCCTGGATTTCACTTTAAAACCGAACTCAAGACAGATATAAACAATGCATATGAATTAATCTCTGTATTAATTAAAGATTATTACAGTTAAGCTACCCATAGTTTGAATCTCGGCCAGTTCAGCAGGGACAGTCCAAGATTCGAACCACATACTGTATGGGCAGGCTGAATATACCCATGTTGATTGATTAATCAACTTGGGTACAACCAGCCTGCCATATTTTACATTTGATTATTACTAGTGGCTATTCTCCCCACAGGGACAGCTACCCCTGCCGCCTCTCTCTGCCGGGAGAACACAATAACCCTGCAGGATGGATTCCCCCATCAACACGGACTGTGCTGATGGGGAAATCCAGTGATTTTCTTCCCTGCAACCATTGTTTGCAGAAAAAGAAAATCACTCCGTCTATGGCTGGCTTTACTTTTAAGTGTACCCTGTACAGCAGGGCTCTTACTGGGAGTGGGCACAAGCAGCCAGTTGTGGTGCAATGCTTATGTGCTAACAAGGAGTATGCTGATAGAAGGAGGAAGCAGAGTAACAGACAGATGAGCTCATTAGCCTGCTGCTTCTTCTTCTTTCACTGTCTAATCACAGACAAGAACAAGTTGTACTTAACTGTAGCAGAGAAAATCAGGTCTCCTGCCTTATTAGACAGGGCAGTGCTGTGTGGCAGAGCTGAATAAATCTGAGGATGGGATGGACAGAAACGGTTCATATGTATGTATTTTATCTATGTATTTAAGCCTGAATTTACTTTAATTTTGTCTTTTTGCTTTTTCTGCATGCTTCTTACCCAAGTGCATACATTAAATCTAGCTAATTTAGCTTGGGTATACAGTTGAGCACAGGGTATTCAATGCAGGATTACACATCTCAATGACCCATGCTTGATGACACATGTAAACATTGCATGTCTACTTGGTTTGTACCGCATAACCTGTGATTTGTGTATGTCTTTCTGTAACTGCTGTGACATCAACCATCGTTACATATATTATACCTTTCTGCAATCTTTAATAAAGAAAGTGAACTGTAAACTGGGTATACATATGCAAATTATATTCGTTCAAACTGCAGCCTGAATAAAAATCATCCAACAGACTCCCCTATCCCTGCTATACAGCACGAATGGAGGAATCTCCTGCTGCACCTGTTGTGTTCTGACAGCCGCAGCTAGTGCCTGTCAGAATACTCAAACTTTGGCTGCATCTGATTGGAAGTGGCCACTATTTGGCCGACAGTTGGGAGGTGGCTATCAGGGCTGCCCATGTAGCAAAATCCAAAATTCGTATAGTGTGTTATCAGATTTACTCAAACTGTTCATCTCCATCCTGCACTACCTTCGTAATTTCTTTGTGTTTTGGATTGCTAATGTATGTGTGTTATTCCTGGTCATGATATAACTAAAAACCGATAACAAGACAGTTAACAGTACAGACATTGCACATGGTAGGGGTTTGCACTGTACTTACTGTATATGAAATATAGCAACTGATTGCTGTGCTCTAATCCTCTCACTTAAATATCATAAGGGATATCACAAATTGTTTCAAGCATGTTTTGAATATTACACTATGTCTTTTGTGCATTTCAGGCAGTGACTTGCAAGTATAATTCTTGATGTGTTTGTGCTGTAGGTGGCATATTGATGTATGGAGCTCTGCTACTGTTTGAATCAGAATTTGTACACGTGGTGGCCATCTCCTTCACTGCCTTGATTCTGACAGAACTGCTCATGGTAGCACTAACGATAAGAACATGGCACTGGTTAATGGTTGTAGCTGAATTTTTCAGTCTCGGCTGCTATGTGGCTTCACTCGCATTCCTCAATGAGTACTTCGGTAAGCACAGCACACATGATATTCTCCTATTTTGTTATTGCTGAGGTGTTTTACTATGACTGTAATTTCTTTGTAAGTAACAGAAAAAAATGTTAAAATCTGAGGGCCAGCTGAACCTAAATTCCTCAAAAATTGGTTATCTGATCTACCCATCAAAAGAAATGCGTTCAACTGATGATAGCATTAGAATATCAAACCCATCCTTGGTCATGGATAATTGAAGTCTCCTGGCACAGCCCATCTTTTTTTTTTTTTCTGCTTTGTAACTAAACTATAATTATTACTTGTAGTTGTATTTTTTTGTAATTGAGCTGTGTGTGTAGACTGTTCATTTCCTGTTCATTTCCATCTCTGTTTTAAGCCACGATCTTAATGCTTGTAAAAATGCGGTTGGGTAAAAAACAAGTTTTTACTGTGTAGCAGTGGGCCTGCAGGGCTGAAAATAAAAGGAAGAATCTACATTTGCACTTACACTTTTTTTGCATGAAGTCTTGTATATTTAGATTGCATATAAATGAAGGAGGACAACAATTATATTTTATGCATGAAACACTGTATACTTAGATTACATGTAGAAAGAGGAATGAGAAACTACAAACGTATAAAGGGAACAATGAGGGTAATAGAGTAAAATACAATTATTTTAGAAAGACCCTGTCACTGTGCTAAGAAAGAGCTACCCTGTAAAGGAACATACTTACCTTTCTGACGGGTGGTGTGTTAACTTAAAGAGCTATGAGTGCTGTTGATATCCAACACTTCTGAAGGTTTCAGTTATTGTGTTCCGCTGGGTGTTGTAGTTAAATAGTTGATTGGTCACAAGCAGCATAAATTAATATTAAAATACCAGATAAAGTGATTGAAAAAAGTTTGTACCTTAATGCATTAAGTTAAAAAAACTTTTTGCGTGCAGCTCCCCTAATACTCACCTGAGCCCGATCTCGGTCGAGTGCTGTGCATGTCTGAAGCAGCTCCTCTCCCCCCTCTCCGCTCTCAGGCCTGCTTGAGCAGGAACATTGGGGGGGGGGGAGCGGGGCCAAGCCAGACTGTGTGTCTAAATAGACGCAAGCAGCTTGGCTCCGGAGAGAGCCTGCACAAGTGACCACCATAGGAAACAGCTTTCTATTGTGGGCATGCAGCGGGGGGGAGGAGCCAGGAGTATCAGCAGGCGACCCGAGCAGAGGAGACTGCTCTGTGCAACCAGTACACACAGCAGGTAATTATGCCATGTTTGTTATTTTAATGAGAAAAAAAGAAGCTTCACTCTTAAATGTGCCCAGGATGGAAGTATAACCAATTTCAGTGATTCAGCACTGGGCTGCCAGCCGTATTCTACACATTTGTAACCTTTAAATTGTTAGTGTTTGGCTTGTGATTGCAGGACAGCTCCAATGACTTAAATGGTCAAGTTTGACAGGCAGTGCTGCCTGTCTACTTGGCATGCCACTTTAAATTTGTCAGGGCACAAATGATCACAGCTGCTGAGTACAACATCCTGCAGTTGATTATGTTTTAGGTGGGCAGTCAGAGTGAGATAAAACTGAGGCTCAGCTGCCTTTTTTTTACTAGTCCCCTGCCCACCAACATTTGGTGATAATGAGAAGCTATGAGCTACAACATTTGTGACTGCTTTGCAGATTATTTGGATCACATGATTGCCCCATGCAATGTGGAGGTGTCTTCTGTACATGTATCAGATTTGTTAGGAGGTCTTCTGTTCTTCCTACATCCCAGTCAAGAGTTCTGTTTTCAAACTTTTCCAGCTTTCCTTAGCTTTATTTTCATCATCCCCGTGCTGTGTTTGGAGTAATGCCACACAGTATCTTGTAAAGTAAAATTGAAAGCACATTGTTTAGGGGTAAAGATGGCTACGGATAAAAAAAATGCAGTGGAAGCACTTTGTTTTCTTTCCTGGGAAGAGTATTCTTCTACAGTTACTATACATATAGATGACCAAATAATAGTTGTTCTTTCTGGTACAGAGAAAATGTTTAAACAGAAGTGTAGATTGAATATTCCCAACACTATGGGATGTCAGATAACTACAGGAAAATGTGCTATGTGTCTCCGGAGAAAGGGTCTAGAGATTATCTATAGTTTTCATTTACACTCTTCAATAATCACTGCTAATTTCAACCCTCATCCTTTATTAATTGCTTGCTTTTCTAACTACTGTCATTTCTTCTTCTTGCTTCTTGTGCTTTATTTCTTGCCTCAGGTCTTGGTAGAGTGTCATTGGGAGCTTTCTTAGGTAGGTTTTATGAAAATATTCATCTGTTTTCCTACTGAATAGATGGCAATATTTAGTATGTTCTATGTTTAAAGTGTTGTATTGATGGTAAATGGTTATTCCGTATTACATCTTTTACACATGCATAGCATATGTACAAATAACTGCATACGTTAAATGTGTTGTAGAAAGTGTT